TTTGTTTTGCCTGAGACCGCCTTTCAGCTTGGAGACCCCACATGCATGGAGGTGAGCTGAAAATCTAGATGGGTGCAACCAGCTGATGTAGGTATGGCTTGACTAGCCTTGGAAGTCAGGAATGATTTGCGGTCAGCTTCCTGCATTGATGGCAATGGTTTCAGCCAAGCAGAGAGCCAGGCCTGCAGACTCCTATAGGCATAGTATGCATGAACCAGCACTAACCAACCGGCCTGCTCATCCTCGCACCTTTGCCTCTGTGACCTCCCCCACTCATCAGCAGTGATTTTTCTAACAGATGCACGAGCGAGGTCTCCAGTTGCTGGGCTGTTGTGGCTTTGACACAGTGCTGCCCGGCCTTTGCTAGGAAATGCAAGCAAGCTGTTCGAGACCCAAACCTGCTGCTTCTGCCTCGCTCTTGCAAGCTTGCGAAAGCCAGCGAGTGTCTCTGACCTGGACGCTCTCTTGTGTAGCTTGAGCAAGGGAAATTCAGCTGAGCATGGGCAGTTCCCGGCCCACCACCCCTTCTTCCCCCCCCAAAAGAGAGTCGCTGCTTATCGCTTTGACCCTGTCCTTGCTGGCCTCGGGAGAAAGCTGGATGTGGGGCGGGAGCGGAAATTGTGCCACAAGGGAGAGAGGAGCTACAATTCAAGAGTGGGTGTGTTATGGGGGTGCGGGGGGAGCTATGTGCTCCGAGTATCCAGGGGGCTAGAGTTAGGATTCGGTTACAGCTGGAGAGGCCTCCTGCCTTGAGGATGAGCTGGGCTTCATTGTAATGTGGTGTAGCTCACACACCCACGGTGACTTTTTTCCTATCCCTTTTCTGCTCTTTTGGCTTATTTCCTCCCCCCTGCCCCTCCCGGTCGTCTTATCCCCACTCTCCTCCCAGCTGAGCAGCCTTTGGAGCCCTCTGCTCCCAGCATCCGCAGCAGAGCCTGGATGCCAGCCCAGGGCTGGGAGCACAGGGCAGGGGGGAGATCTCATCTATAAGCTGTGCAGACAAATGAATTGCAAAGAGAGAGAGAGGCTGCAATTGTTTTGGCCTTAAGTGAATTTCCTGGCTGGGTTCCTGCCGCCCAGAGCAGTGAGGCAGGAAGGGGGTGGGAGGCAGCAAACCTGTGGTGCTGCGATAGCCCCCGCGAGGTGACGCGGGGGCTGCGCGCAGGCTGTACCCTTCCTGCCCGGGAGACGGGCGGGCAGGCTGCAACTTTCCGGAGCTTCCTTCCAAGGGGTCTCGTGGTCTCTTCCTGCTGGGAGGGGCATGGAGAGCTTCGCTGACAGCCCAGGAGATAATTTCATTGTCTGGGGAAGGGGGTGGGGGCATCTTCGGGACAAAGACTTTCAATGCAGGCGAGGCATAAACAACTGTCCCCTTTGGTCTATTTATAGTGGCCGTGCTGGAGGATGAGTTGCGGGGTTATTTTCGGCACGGGCAGAGGCGCAGTTGCTGGACGGCGTTGTTGAGCTAATCAAGCGAGCGTTTTCCTCTTGATTGCATCCCCAGTGGGGATCCTGCTCCAGCCTGTTCCTCTTTTTCAGCCTGCTGTCCCCTGCCAATGCTTCCCAAAGGCATCGAGACCAGCCAGGCTCTTCTGGGCTTGCTTTCATAGCCTCGCCTCTCCTCAAAGGGCTTTGGGGACTATCCCAGTCAGAAGCAACGCCCCCCATCTGAGCGCTGTGAGCCTTGCGCTTCTTGACCCTCCTCTTGCTTCTCTCCCAAGCCAGGTGGGTGGATGCTGCCTCGGCTCCTGGCATGGGCAGCGGTGGTATGGCAGGGCCTGAACCTGGTCAGGGCAGTCGGGGTCATTCTGCCCTAAAGCTCGTAAAGGCAGGGAAGGGCCTGGTGGAGCCCAGGAGCAAGCCGAGCCTTGGGCAGGGTCCGGATTGGGGCACTGTCCCTCGGACCAAGGCGTACCGCCCTGTTCCTCCGAAGGCAGCATTGGCCTTATCCTGCTGGAGTGCCAGCCCATCCTGCTTTGGAGAGGGACCTCATAGTGACGTCTCTTCCCCACCCCCAAACTTACCCCGAGTCCCGGCATGTCGGCCAGGAAGAAAACTTTCTTGGCCCTTACAGCTGATCAGCTAATGCCCTGAGACTCAGGCCTAGGTAGCTCCCTCAGCCTCACCAGATCTCCCTAGGGGTGGCTGCGCTGCTCAGCCCTTTGTTCCAGTCTCTTTGCAGCATTTGACCCCCGGCAGGATCGCCGTTTCCTTGGAGGAGCTGTCTCCAGCACAGACGCCTTCCCTGGCACCTGCTGGAACGGGCCCTGTGCGACGCACTTGGGGACGGATCCACTTCTTGTGCCTTGAACCCACCTTTTCTATTTTTCCTTCCCTTCAACCCCACAGGCCACTGCAGCCCAGCCCGCCTCCCCTCCCGGCTCTCCGTACCTCGGGGACCTAAGCAAACAAATTTGGCGTGGCTGCCCTCCTCTCCCAGTTAACCAGCCCAGCTGTATGCTAATGGCCGGGCAAACACATTGCTGCTTGCTTAACTCTCCTGTGCTGAGTAAAGTCGGCCAGAAGAATCTGTGCTATTGTTACCAGCCCCAACGCTTCCCAGAACAAAAAGCCCACTGCTGAGACTGGGGTGAATGATGGGTGGCAACGAATTTCCAGCTCACTTGTAATTCCTTGTTTCAAGGAGTCTCTTTCTACACCGCCCCCCCCCCAATTCCCTTTGTCTTTCTCCCTTTGCCCTTTTGTGCGCGTCTGGTTTTTATAGTCCTTGGCAGCTGGTTGCGGTTTCTCCTCTTGCCGGCTTTGTTTGCTGTGTGCTGATTGATTAAGATTTCTTTCCCACCCCCCCCAATTCTCCCCCTC